ACACCCCAGGAGTCTGGCTTTGGATGGGGGTGCAGGTTTGCCTTCCAGTCTCCACTGTTCCTGTGCTCGTGGCTGTGTCCCCTGACTCCTGCTTGTCCCTGCAGGCCCTTCTTGTTCATACCCGAGGGGGCAGAAGGCCCTACTAGCAGACAAACAGCGGCGGCGAGGTCCCCCCAGGGCGAAAGGACTTTTTAAAGTGATTAATAGAAGATGTATTTGAACAGCAGCGCATATAACCGTCATTGGACCTAATATTTGCCATCCCAGATAAGTCTTTCTTTCCTGTTTGTTGGTTTTGACTTTTTTAAAAAAGATTTATTTATTTATGCATAGAAGCACTGGGGTGTAGGCCAGAGGTGTGGAGGGTGAGAGGCTTCCCTAGAGACAGAGTGGGGAGCAGAGGCAGATCTACTGAAATCGGAGCAGTGGGGGGACAGGAGAGGTCTGCTGCGCCCTGTGGGTCAGCTCCCGGGCTGGGCATCGAGCTTGGCTGCAGACAGCGTCACAGTGCTGAGACGTAACCCCTTGCGCCACAAGGGAGACCCTGTTTGATGGTTTTGAAAACATAATATGGGGAGACGCGGGGCGCGATTCCAGACAGCTCCGAGAGCCACGTCTCGGTGCGGCTCTGAAGTCAGTCACTGTCCCAGGTTTCAAGCAAACAAGCCGGCGCCTGGGGGCTGGGCAGGCCCTCAGGGAGGCTGGGACCTGTGTCCAGCCTCCGGCCGGCACCTGTAGGTTTTCTTGAGATGTGTCAAATCTGGCAGGGTCAAGGACAGCGCCAGGGTGGCTGGGAGGGACCATGTGTACTTGGGGAACTGCGTCTTGACAGGTGGCCTGCAGGTGCCTGAAAAAACTCTTAAGCCTGTGTTGCGCTCGTGCTGCATAGCGGCCGCCGCGGGGCTCCTCTGGGTCGGCACTGGCCCTTCGAAGCTCACCAACAAGCAGGGCACCTGCCAGTCCCCAGCCCCATCCTTGGGGATTTCACTGCTGCCCCAGCCCCCTCCCGGGAACCCTCTCCTCATGTGACCTGGGAGTCACCTGTGCAGGTTCTCCTCGCTCCTGGGAGCTGCTCTTACATGACCCCCCATCCCTTCTGCCCACTCCCCGCTATGACTCCAAGCCTCTGGCCGCTGTCCCCTGCCTGGCTCCCCTGTGAGCCCCCACCTGCCATGCTGGCACCCCCAATATGCTCCCCAAATCCTCATCAGAGGCCCCCTTCCTGAGAAAGGCCTTGGCTTACGTGCTTCCCTGTGCTGCTCTGCCGGCGAGTCTCCCACCCAGAGGAGGAGTCAAGTTTGGGGAGCCTGCAAATTGGGGCCACAAAGAAAAGAAAAATGGGGGTGGGGGTTCTATTTGTTTGTCAAAAAAAGCAGTAAATCGCCGTTGAGGGGAAATGAGAACTTTGATGGGTCCCCTGATGCTCATGGCTGCTGAGCGTGTCCGTGAGGGCCGCCACCATTCTCGCAGCAAGCGGGCTGCGGGGTGTGAGCCCAGCCTGGCCCGACCTTTGTTCCCTCGCTTGGCAGACAGAGCTGAGCCCCTCGAGGTGCCGGCTGCAGCCCCGCCCGCCGGTGAGAAGGTGCTGGGCCTCACCCTCTGGGGAGTGTCACCGTCCTGAAGCTCTGGATAACTTTTTAACACCGTCTCTGTTTTTCCCTCTGGCCGGGCCCGGCAGGTCTCCCGGCCCAGCTGCCCGGGGCAGGTGGCCCAGCCCGGGCCTGCCAGCGACACCTGCGCGGCCGCCACCTGCCACCCGCCGCCCACCCCACGGGCCGGACAGAGGCCGCCCGCCCGGGCCGCCGGCCTCCGCTCTGGCTCCTCCGCCTGCTCCTCGCCCGCTCCGCCTCTGGGCATCTGCTCCGTGGTTCTGGCTGCCAGGTCGGCCCTCCCGCTGCCCGGCTCGCCCGTCCCTGCCCAGCTGCGGGCTGAGTGCCAGGAGGGCCGCCGGGTCAGCGCCCCGGGCCCCGGGGCCGGGCCACGCAGCGGCGCCTGCCGGGGTGGGGGCGCGGGGTCGGGCGCGGGCCCCTGGCCTGGCGCGGCGCCCCGAGTCCCGTTGGCCCCGAGTCCCGCTTCCAGCCCGGCCCGGAGGCGTCGCTCCGCACTCGGCGGTGCCGCCCGGCCCGGTTCCAGGACGTTTCCGGGACATTCCCCGGCGACGAGGCCGAACCCGCGCGCCGGCCCCTCCTCCGCGCCTGGCACCCGCCGCCGCCCGCCCGTCCGCGGCTCCCCTTTCCGGGCGCGCCCCGCGGGCCCCGCTCCAGGAGCCGGCGGGTGCGGCCCCCCAGCCCCCCGCACAGGCGCCCCCCGGTCCCCACAGCCCCGGCGCCCCCGGGCGGGAGCGGGGCCCTCGCGCCCAGCCCCCCCGCTGGAGCGCCCCGGCCTCCTCCTGGGGCCCCGGGCGCCCCGACAGGGCCCGCCCCCCAGGCCCTCCCGCCGGGGGTCCGACGCCCGCGCCGCCCCCAGGGCCCGCGCCCCGCGCCCCGCGCCCGCCGCCGGGAACGAGGGGGGCTGGCGGGGACGCGCGGGGCGCCCGAAGCTCCCGAGGCCGCTGGGCCTCGGCCTGGGGAGGGCGCGGGGAGCCGGGCCGGGGGGCGGCGGGGCGGCGGGGGCGCGGGGCTCGCCGCGGCCGGGACGCGCCTCTCCGGAAGGACGCGGCGGCCGGCCGGGCCCGGCGGGGGCGGGCGCGGGGGGCGCGCGGGGGGCGCGCGGGAGGCGGGGGCGGGGGCTCTCGCCCTCCCCCGGGCTTCCGGCCCCCCCCCCGCCGGCCCAGGCGCCTCCCCGGGCCGGGTGAGTCGGGGCCCGCGCGCGGCGGCGGGCGGGGGGCGCGCGGGGGGCGCGGGGCGGCGGGGGTGGGGCGCTCGGAGCCGGAGCCGCCCCCGGGCCGCCCTCCCCACCCCGGGAAAGCGGCGGCCGCGGGCGGGGGGGGGGGCCTCGGCCCAGGGGGGGCCGGCGGGCCGCGGGGAGACCGTCGGGCCAGCGGCGCCCAGACCCGGGGCTCCGAGCGCGCGCCCCTCCCGCGCGCCCCCCGGGCCTGCAGCGCCCGGCGCCTGAGTGGACTCGGGGCCGCGGCTCGGGGCCCCCAAGTGTTCACAGTGACGCAGTCCGCGGGGGTGGCCGCCGAGCCCCCCCCCCCGCGCACCCCCGCGCGGGCCTGCGCCCCGGCTCCATCCAGGAGTTGCGCCCCTTCAGCTTTTCTTGAGTTGAAGTTCATTGCGGGTCACCAAGGGGCCTCTTGGGAGTGAGCGGAAAGTGCGTGCAGGACCCGGTCCCGTCACCTCCCGTCCAGCCCCCGCTGCAAGGACCGGTGAGGGAGCTGCTGGCGCTGCCCCGGCCTGTCTCTCCTGCCTCAGCCCTTATGTAGACCCAGAAAGGCTTAGTAGTGTGTTAGGGATCCCTTGCAAACAGCAGGGGGGTCGTTCTGGAATACCCCCCCCCAGTGTGTTTTGGGAATCTGTCAGTCTAGACCGTCCTTTTTAACGGCTGTATGGTATTCCACCGCCTGAACAAGCTGTTCCTGATGGCACGCATTCCCTGCTGTTTTACTTTCTTCATGGTTTTTCTCAAGTCGTTCACCCCAAATGTGTTCCTGGAGCACCTGCTCCGGGCCAGACCTCTCCTAGGGCAGGAAGCACCATCAGAGCAAAATAGATTCCCCCTGGGTGGCCCAGCAGCTACGAGCTGGGGAACAAGCAGTTGCAGGTGGGTGAGTCAGGGTATTGGATCTTCTGAGCAGAGGCTATGTTGAAATTCTATGGTTCAAGTATCAAAGCGATGTAAAAACGTTAGGAGAAAGTCTTTTAATTGATTTTTTATAATACTGCTATTTTTAAATTTATTTTGAGAAAAGTCTTACTCCCGCCTCTGCCCCATTTGACCTCCATTCTTACTAGTTCCTTCAGCTACCCCTGCAGCGCTTTCCTCAGAAAATACAAACAAAACCAACACGAATGCGCCTTTTCCTTCTTTCCTGTGTAAAGGGAAGCCTGGATACAGATCTCTGCTCTGTTTGTTTTCTTTAAAGCTGACGTGTGCATCTTGGGGTGATTCTCCTCGGCACAATCAAGAGCTTCCTTGTTTAACATTCCCCACAGAGGACACAGTTTCCCATCCTATGGCTTGTTTTACTGCAGTTTATTTGTTCCCCTCGACACCTGGGGTGTTTCTTGTCTTGGCTCTATAAACACTGTTGCGGTGAATAACTGCGTAAAGGTCACTTTCCAGCCTGCCAGTCTTCACATAGCGAGGGCTGTCGGACCGGTCGTTGCCAGGGGCCAAGGCCATGTGCAGACTGTGTGGCTGTGTTAACTGAAGGGCCTCTGCTAGGGAGGGCTCTTCAGAGAAACAAACAGCAGGTATCCCAGCTACCTAGTGGAGAGCTGGAGGTGTCCGTTCACTGGGGAGAGTCTTGAAAAACGCATTTTTAGACAATTGCACTATTGTGCAAATGAAACAGCAGTATGGTTTGTGCACTTAGGGGCCATGATGCGCAAAACAAGACAGACTAAATCAGGCATGGGGCTCCCATGGGGCAAGGGGTTAAGCGTCAGCACCGTGAAGCTGTCCGCAGCCTCCATCCCCTGCCCGGGAGCTACCCACATGGCGCTGCAGACCTCTCTTGTCCCCTGCTGCTCCCCTCAGCAGTGGATTTCAGTAGATCCGCCTGTTCTGTTCCCCGCTCTGTCTCTGGTGGATCCTCTCACCCCCCTGAGGTCTATACCTCAGCTCTTGTATGCATAAATAAATAAGTAAATAAATAAATAAAATCTTTTTTTTTTTTTAAAAAAAGAATAAATCAGGCATAGGGTGCTACCATGAGACATGGCAGAGAGCTGTGCCAGGCTGCAGGCTACGGTGGCTGGGATGCCACCGGGCAGCAGGGACTACAGAATGTTGTTGCGGCTCACGCTGTATACATATGTATCTTGTAACAGTGAAGTATAATGTAATGCAATATAAGGTAGACTGAGTATAAGATGTTGGCTCAGATAGTTACAGAGACAGAGATGGACAGGTCCCAAAGTTTGTAAGAGGCAAGTTGAAAACCTGGGACCTGCAGGGGTACTTCCATTTCAAAGACCATCGGACTCGATCCCCCCAAATAGCCGATGTTTGTCTTTGACTCCCAAGGCAGGAGAGCAACGGATGTCCCAGTGCCAAAGGAGTGGGGCAGCAGGAGTTCCTCTTCTTCAAGGGAGGTCCGCCCTTTTGTTTTCCTGAGGCCTTCAACGGATTGGGTGAGGCCCACCTGCGTTAGGGAGGACAATCGGCTTTCTTAGTGTGTGGAGTCAGGTGTTCCCTCAGCTGGCAACTCCCTCACCCACACAGCTGGGTCAGTGTTTCACCACATACCTGCCCCTCCACGGCCCCGTGGACACCTGGAATTGGCCCGCATTCCCTCCATGGCCCCATTTGCTCTCGGCCCGTGTGAGGGTGTGCTGGCACAGGGTCTCACCAGAAGTGTGGGACAGAGTGTGGGTTTCCCCAGCCTGACAATGAAACATGACATCTTAGTGTGCTTTTAATGTGCGTGTCTGTCATTCTCTGTAAGGCTTTGCATAAATCCAAGGACTGCTGCGTCTCCTCTCCAGTGTGCTGCTCGGACACTTCGCCTTCTCAGTTGTGATCTTTTCATAGTTTACGTCAAAAGACACAGTTCTTTTTTTTTTTTTTTTCCTTAAAGATTCATTTCTTCATTACAAGAACCGAGGTACAGGCCAGAGATGCGGGGGGTGAGAGGATTCACCAGAGACAGAATGAGGAACAGAACAGGCAGACAGACTGAAACACACTGCTGAGGGGAGCAGCGGGGAGACAGGAGAGGTCTGCTGCGCCATGTGGGTTGCTCCCTGGCCGGCCAGGGATCGAACTGGTGCTGCAGAGGCTGTGGATTGCTTCATAGTGTGGTGTTTAACCCCTTGCACCACGAGGGAGGCCTCTAAAGATTTATTTTTATTTATTTATGCATATAGGAGTTGGGTGTAGGCCAGAGCTATGGGGCTGGGGGGAGGGGCGTTCAGAGGATTCACCAGAAACAGAGTGGGGAGCAGAACAGAACAGGTGGCTCTCCTGAAATGCACTGCTGAGGGGAGCAGCGGGCGAGTCAGGAGAGGTCTGCTGCGCCATGTGGTCAGCTCCGTGGCCGGGGGTCGAGCTCAGGCCGTGGTGGCTGGTGATAGCACTGAGACTTTAACCCCTGCGCCACCAGGGACCCGCCCCCCGCCCCGCTTCCTTCCATTTTTTGGCTACTGACCATCATAGGCTCCCTCCGGCAGAAAGGTGTCCACATCCTCAGAGCACCTCTTATCACCTGCAGTTCTCATATAGCCAGTCGAGGTTGGGAGGACTGTGCACGGTTTGGGGGTGCATGTCCCCGCTGGCCGAGCCGTTTGTCTGTTTACTTGTTTTTTTACGAAGGTTTTTTTTTTTATATCGTCAGATTTATTCTTTGATGGCTTCTGAATTTGACTCAGAGAAAATTGTCCCCCCTCTAGTGTTTCATTCATTCATTCATTCATTTATTTATACAAGCACTGGGTAGTCAGAAGCGCGGGAGGGTGAGAGAATTCACCAGAGCCAGAGCGGGGAGCAGAGCAGGCAGAAGGACCGAAGGACACTGCTGAGGGGAGCAGCGGGCGGCAGGAGAGGTCTGCGCGCCATGTGGGACCCTCCTCCGGGGGCCGGGGAGCGAACCGGCACTGCAGAGGCTGCGGGCAGCTTCGCAACCCAGCGCTCAACCACTGCGCCACCGGGGACACCCCCCCCCCCCCGCCCGCCCCACTCTAGTGTTCTAAAGACGCGCTCCTGTGTCCTGTGTCTCCTCCTGGAACTTCTGTGCTCCCAGGCCTTCCATTTACTGCCAGGCCTCTGCTGGATTTTATCCTGGCATGTGAGCTCAGACACACCCCCACTTCCTCCCAGGAAGATGCTTGGTGGGTGGAGACTGGCAAAACCAGAGATCGGGGTGGGGGTGCGCCTGGGTTTGGGGCCTTCGGGTTTGGGCTGGATTCACACTTTCCTGGGTCTCCGGCACGTGCGGGTCATGGGCCTGTTTCGATTATCAGGTGAGCTGGTTCCACACAACAAATCTCCTTGTGCATGGGCGTGCGTCCCCTAACAGCCGTCTGGGTCAATGATGATGCACGGGGGACCGCAGCCCCTGTAAGGTCCCCTGTAGCCCAGGTGCAGGTGTGGTGCACGCCCCGCCACACAGGCGTGGGGCTCTGCTCTGTCACGTTTTGATTTTGTCTCACTTCTTCCCTCTTTCCCACTCTGAGGTCACCGGATCACAAAACGAAATTTTGTTCCGTTCTCAGCAAAGTGTAGCGTCTGTCTTCTCTTGAAAGCACACACCTTATTTCCTCACATACAGAAATAATTCTCTTATCAGTGCCATTCGTTTTAATTACACACGTCACCCAGAATTCTTCATCTTCAAAACATCAACTTTTAATGAAAACGACAGCCTGGAGGGTCCCTCTTCTTTTGCTTTGACCTTGTGGCCCCACCTTCTCTCCGACTAAAATCCTTCCGTTGTACAGTTGTGTGTAGCATCGAGTTGCCGATCCAAGAATCCTTTAACACAGCTAATTAAACCTTCAAAATGAAGTTGGTTGCATTTTTGTTATTTAACGTGTCTCTTGGAGGCTTGTAAATATCAATTAAATGTGTCTGTCCCCTTTAATTTGTTTGATTTCTAAGTCTACGGTTTACGAGATCAGTGCACAAGAAGACAATTTTTGCACATTTAGTGGGGCCCAAAGGGGCCACTGTAATTCTGAATCATCTTGCATAGGATCTGCCCATCAGGATAAAAAATTACGGGGCGGGGGCTGTCATCTCTGAACATAAGTCCAGCTGCAGTTCCCGAGGAAGGGATGTCTTGGAAAGATCTAGAAAGAGAAAAGTGCCACAATGGAGAAGCAGGAACTAGAGAAAGACACTCAGGGAATGAACCCCTTAACTTAGGGTCCTTAGGAACCCCCCAGCGCCCACCTGAATGTGTGATGAGCGGGAGGAACTTTCTACCAGCGGTCCAGGGACTGACTGCCCAGCACTGGCGGCTGTCCCCTGCTCAGCAGGCAGATGGCCCGTCCCAGGAGCTCCTGCTGCAAGTTCCAGGGATCACTGAGTAGGGAAACCCCCCACCTCAGGGGAACATGACGTCCAGGATGGACCCCTGCTCTGGCAGACGGGAGAGCCAAGCCCGCACCTCTGCCGGCAGCTTTTTAGAAAAGAAGCCGCCAAGGCCATCACCGCCCTCCTCTGGGCCTGGCTACAGCGCCCACATGTCCTCAGGTCAAGACAACTTTGGGGCAGATGGTCCCGGGACCTCTGTCCGGGAGGGGGAAGTGAGACAGGAAGGAGGGAAAGCAAGACCAAGGGTGTGAGGAACAGGTCCCCAGCCGGGGCTCCCAAGGCCCAGTCCCAGGGGACTCCCCGGGTGACATCCCAGCACGTGCCCCAGTGCCCCAGTGCCCAGCCTCCCGCCTGAGAGCTCATGAGTTGACCGTGCAGCACAGCCAGCCTGCCCGGCCTGTGGGACGGGAGAATGCCCACAGGCCCTTAGACCTGCAGAGGGCGTGGTGGCCCTGTCCTGGGATGGCGAGTGCCCGGGCACCGATAGCATTGCCTGTCGTTACCTAATTCCTTTTACCGGCTGTGTAATACTCCACTCTGTGGCTGTGCTGTGAGTTACTTAACGAGTCTAGTTCAAAGAGGAGATGACAGGCCTGGAATGGAGTCATCTGTGCTTAGTCCCATATCCCCAAGCCAAGACTTAATTACGGTTTCAACTCTCCCAGGAATGGAATCTTAAACCAGTCCATCTGGAATGACCTGGCCAGCATCGGCCAGGTCACCTGATACGTCCCCACCGTCCGTAGGGGAGAGCAGCCCGGCCAGCACAAGGCTCTCCCATCTTCCCGTGACTGGTCCTTCTGCCTAGAAAAGCCCATTTTGTGGGCTCCTTGGGGCCCTGAGATTGAACGCTGCTCGATGTATGAATCATTGAACAAAGTCAAGATTTTGGACATTTCACTCACTGGGATTTTTTTCAATAGCTCTGCTCCTGGCTGCGCCCAGCTGGGTTTTGTTTGACTTGGGGCTTAGGAGTTGTACTCAGATGCTTCTGGAAGCTGAGAGGGCATCCCTGGCCAAAAACCCCTGCCGTTATTTTCTCTTACTACAAAGAGCTTGGGTTCCAGGAGCGGCCGTTGTCGGCCATCTCTGGCAACCTTTTTCCTCTTCTCTGAGGTGACCACCCTATGGATGGTTTCTAGAAAATGCCAGCTCTTTCCTGCCTCTGTAGATGTGGGAACTCTGTGCCTTTATACCCTCTGGGTGGGCTCTGCCGTTGGCCCTGCTGTTGTGACACTGGGCCGGGGCCCAGCTCGCCGCCTGCTCTGAGCGAGTCGGCCACTTGTCCCTTTGCAGATGCCCAGTGTCCAGTGACTGCTGACTGCCTGGCACCACCGGGTCTCACAGAGGACTTGTGAGTGGGTCGGACCTAATAGGGTGCTAAGTGTGAGTCTGTGGGCACCTGTGGGTATGGGGGCAGGGAGTGAGCACGGTGTGCAGGCGGCCCTGGCTCGCACTCACCGGCAAGGGAAGTATTTCATCTGTTTTGTGCCTGAGGACACAAGGGCCCCTGTGGAGCGGGGCAGGGCCCAGCTGGTCCAGGCTGCCTCCCAGCACCCTCAGCTGCCCAGGGGTGTCCACCTTCCATGTCCTACAGACCCTCGGGGGCTTGCTGACCCACGGCATCGCCTCTTCCAGGGTCAGCCGATTCCTGCTCAGCCCATCCCCATGGCCTCCTTCTGGGGCTCTGGCTTTCGGGCCTGGCTTCTGCCTTAGTCCCCTTAGGGTGCAGCCCTGGCAGCCAGGGACAGTCCCTGGTCACTGTCCGAGCCTGTTACCTGCTCACCTTCACTTGGAAAGCACAACAGAGCCCCCCGTGATCCCCCCCCCACCTCTGTCCCCCCCCCCGTGGTAGGGCGTCTCCCTCCCCCCCAGGGGAAGCGAGTGGTGAAGGAACAGCCGACTGAGTGCATGTGAGGGTGTCATGGGCAGCCAGGAGCTCAGGAGACACACAGGTGGGGGTTCTTCCCAGATGGGGGAATGATTGTGGACCCCCGTCTATCCTGGGTGCACCCCGTGCAGTGCCAGGGGAGCTCCATGCTGCGGGGTTAAAGGTCAGCAGGGCAGGTCGAGGTAGGTACTGAGTTTGGATGATGTGATTTGTCGGGGGCCTGTTGTCCTGTTGCCGCGGGGTTCTGTCAGGGAACCAGGCAGCGCAGAGAGAAGGTTAAGTTCTTTATTCACGCTGGCAGCCCCGGAGGTCTCTCCGAAGTCTGAGCCCCGAGCAATTAGGCAACAGAGTGTTTATTGTCCACAGCAAGGGGTACAGCCAGCTGGGAATGCATGAATCAGGGTGCCTGTGGCCTTGAGGGCGCTTATCAGCTGTTCCCTGAAACTTCCAGTCTACGGGCTCTGTCCTGACTTCAGCTCATCCACAGATCAGCCTGACGTTTTCCACTCCAGCCTCTCCCTTCACCTGGGAGTAAGAGTAAAACCTGCACTTTGAAGAGACACAGCTCCCCGCGGAGCCAGGAGAGTGTGTCAGTGACCACCTGGCTCCGACATCCAGGTGCTGCCAGGACCAGGTGCCTAGGGAAGGGGCGCCGCCCTGTGGGGTGTGGAGGCGCCGTGGTCCAGGCCCCGCGTGGGACAGGCACCTGTGGCGGAGACGGGCTGAGGGGTGGGTGGGCAGGGCGGGGACTGCACCAGGGCCAGAGAACGCCGGCCTTGGACCAGCGCAGTGGCTGCTGGAGGGGCCCCAGGGACCAGAGGTGCTGCCTGCCACGTCTTCTCTGTGCAGGTGGCAGGGGGCCAGCCTGAGCGTTCACTGGTGCTCGGAAGGGCAGGACCCTGTCCAGAGGAGGGGTCTCAAGGGATGCCATGGCAAAGGTGGACAAAGCACCCATGGGTGCTGGTAGCAGAGGATTGTGGACGTGCTAGGGAGGCAAGAAGGGCCCATTTGCCCGCTAGTGCTCTGTCTGGTGCACCCGTTCTCAGAATCCCTTCCCAGGCTGCAGCGCGCGAACCCGGGTCCATCCAAGGCGGACAGGATGGTTCCCGAGGGAGCAGCTAGCAGGAGGCAGGGAAGCCAGACGTCAGCCTGGTCCCTGCCTCAGGTCTGGCCCGGCTGCAGAAAGTGGGCCAAAGGGCACCTAGCCTCCCCTGCGGCCTTATCTCCCTTGCAGGCTGGTCTGTGGGCCTTCCGGAAGTGATCTATGGCCCCAGGAGTCTGAGGCCCTGGGGCAGGGCGACACCCACTTGCCTGCAGGAGCCACCTGCTGGGGGGCGGAGACCATGGCAGGCCCCTTGGGGGTCCACTGTGGAGCTGCCTGCCCCAGGGCACTTCACCTGCAGGGCGCTTCCGGGACAACTCCCATCAACCCCTAGGCCATGGCCTCAGCCTACATAAAGAGGCAGTTTCCTGATGCCCAATGGTGCTGCGGTGCGTGAAGCAGATGGACGTGCCCTCTCCAGGGCGGGGACAGAGGACAAGCGGGGTCGCAGACACAGTGACACCAGGGAGAAGGCAGAAAGTTGAGACAGGGAAGGGGGGGCCTCCAGAGGGGGGACAGGACACCCCAATAGCAGCCGCCACTCTGGAGAGTACGCAGTCTCAGAGCCCTGGGCTGACCCCGTCCTGGTCCCCACGGGCCACCCTGGCTCGAGGGTGAGCCTGCTCTGCGTTCCAGGGAACAGGCTCGGGCGGCGGGGGTTGGGGGGGAAGCCAGAGCCTGGGGAGGCCACAGGGCCGGGCGGGCGGCTCCTCATGGGAGGTGAGGCCTGCAGGCGCCCTGGCCCCGGGTGAGCAGCACTCCCTCGGGAAGGGGAAGGGAAACCGGTCTGGGCAACCCGGTGGGCGCCGGGGTGCCAGGTGTCCGGCTGGCAGGAACACAGCCCTGCAAGCCCACCCCCCGCTGGCCGTGGACAGGGCGGCCCAGTTGTCTGCCCCCCTCCCCCGCGGCGGGGAAAGCACACCAAGATCCACCATCCGAGCCAGTTTTAAGGGCTCATCCGGTGGCACTGACGGTGCTCCGAAGGCTGGGAGCCCACCCGCGCCCCCTTCCCCTCTGACCCGCTCAGCCGCACCCCGACGGCACCCCGGGCCGTCTTCTCCAGACGCTAAGCAGGCTCTGCCCGCCCGCCCCCGAGTGTGGCTGACCCCAGGACCCTGCCGCCCGCTCTGATGAGGTGGGCGCCCGGGCGCGTCTGTCCTCGGCTGCTTGGTGCAGCATCCGGCCCTCGCTGGCCCCGAGGACAGTGACCACCACTGGGACCTGCCCAGTGGAGCCCCCCAGCGGCCCCCGGCACGAGGCCCCGCCTCTCGAGGACCCCCTCTGGTGGACACCCCAGCTGCTGACCCGCACGTGTCCACAGTCCAGAGAGAGACACATGCACGCAGGGCGGAGAGCGAGGTAGAGTCTGCAGGCCTCGCCCAGGGGCAGACCCACACCCTGGAGACCGTCTCTCTTTGGGGCCTGCAGCGTGTACTCGTCTATCGGAACGCCCCACCAGGCAGTCAGAGGGGAGCCCCCGTCCAGAGGCTGGGCCCCTCCACCCCTCCCGGCCTCGGCAGTGCCCCAGCCCCCAACCCCATGGTAACCCTGCACAAGGGCTGGGCTCCAGGGCTGCTCACGGAGGGCACTGCAGGGGCCCTGGCGAAGGTGGGGGAGGGGATAGAGCAGGCGAATGGGGTTGGCAGGCCTCCCCGTCGCAGGCGGTCTTCCTTCGCCCATTTCCACAGATGCCGTGGGGCTCTGGAGGAATCCGGCCATCTGCCCCCTGACAGAGCTGGGGCCCAAGCCAGGCCGTCAGCCCCGAGTCACCCGGAGGGGCCGAAGCTGAAGTGAGAACAGCCGTGGCAGGCGCAGGACACAGACACCGGGTCTCCCGCGAGTTTATTCCCACAGCCCGCAGGCACCACCGTCAGCACAGGCGCGGGGCAAGCTCGATGGAGTTTATCCGGAGCACGGTCTGGGGGCTCACAATGACTGAAAGAGACAGCACAGGCCACAGCTGACCACGGGAGCCGCCCCTGCTGCAAGCTGCCCCGGGCCTCCCTGGGGTGTCGTCCCACAGGGCCCGGCCCGAGTGTGTGTGGGTGCTATGCTGCACACGCGCCCCCTCGCTCCCTGAGCCCCATCGGGAGCTACGGAGGACACAACCCCGAGGCTCAGGCCAGGGGAGACCCCAGGGACACAGCCCTGTGGCGCACAGGCAGAACTCAGCGTGCATGGGGTGCAGCGCCCCACCTGGCCACCTGGGGGCGCCCTGCCATGATTCTGGGTAAGGATGGTCCTGGGACTTCAGGCAGCCTCTCTGGGTACCCAAGGACAGGGGTTCCGCAGCCTCGCCCTGCGGGGACTGTGACTCGAGCGGAGGTCCCTCTGCACCCCGACACTGCCACGTGGCCAGCAGGATGCCAGGAGAACCCCCGGAGCAGGTCGGGCCTGGGACGCCGGCCACCCTCCCTCCAACTTACTTCTTTTCTTCTTGTAGTTTCTCCTTTTCTTAAATTTCATGTTGACTTTCGGCCACGACTCCGTCTTCTCGATGACGGTGGCTTCTACGCGAACGAGGTCCCGCCTGGGAGGGAGGAAAGCTCCGCGTCACCTCCCCTGAGCTTTCGCCTCGCGCGCGCGGCATGCGGGGTTTCCTGGAGTAGCTTTCACTTCCCCTTCCGCTGCCCCTTTGAGGCCTACGCAGAGGCACGAGGAGAGAGCAGGTCCTCGGGGTCCGCAGCCCGGACGCCGCGCCGCACGGCCATGAGGCGTGCACGTGTGTGTGAGGGGGGTTGACGGCGCGTGGGGCCCCTCCCCGCCCAGCAGCCACGGGCGCGTTACCCCAGCAGCGGCTTGCCCAGGATCGTGAAGTCGTCAGCGCCGACCAGCAGGACCTGGAACGTGACAGAGGAGCGTCACCCGCAGGACGGGCGGGGACACAGACATTGGGAGTGAGGACGCTGCTCCCCGAGAGTGGCGTCTGGACCCGACTGCCCCCTGCGCCTCCCCCTGTAGCGGGGGAGTGCCACGGCCGGGCCAGACTCAGAGGCATGAGGAAGCCGGCCTCGGCACCCCCGACCCCGCCAATACCAGGGTGCCCGGGCACCTGCTCGGCAGGCAGCTCCCGTTCCCGGGCGGGGTCAGCACGGGCAGCACAGACTGCCCCTGTGCGCGGGGTGGGCCCGGAGGGCCGCGCCGGGCTTTCCCGAAAGCCCCGTGGAGCCGACCGACATGGCTAAAGACAAGCGTGTTTCACAACACCCCAGACGGCCCCGGAGGGTCCCCCAGTTGCTCTGTGCTGCCTGGCCCGGCCCTGAGTTTCTGGGAAGCAGTCGGCCGCGGTGGGACTTTCTAGGTGTCTTTGTCAACGTGAATGCTTCAGAGGAACGTCTGTTTCGAGACCTTCAGGCGCACGGGGAAGCCCGCTGCTGACGTACACGCTGGCGCGCCCCGCGCTTCTGTGAGCCCACGGAGGCGGCCAAGGGAAGCCCTTGGTGCCGAGCGCCAAAAGCCCCTTCCAGGGCAGCCTGGACCTAGGGGGCAGCGGGCTCTGGCTGGGGGAGCCCCTCAGAGCTCAGGCTCTCGTGGGGTAGACACACGCCAGCGTCACCCCGGGAGCTGCTTTCACGCCTAAGGACAACCACGCGTGCAAATTACAGTGTACGAACGCGCCCTCCAGGGTCGAGTCTCGTGGCAAGACTGTCCTCCGCTTGTCACTCTGGAGACAGGAAGATCAAGAAGATCCCCAAATGCAGCAGTTGGTCATACGTGAAGGGGAGCGAGGCAGAGCTGAGGCGCAGCCGGCCCAGGCAGTGCGAGCGCCAGAGCGGTGGCCTGAGACAGGTACGCCAGGCAGCGTGCCGGCCGGAACTGAACACCCCCCGAAACGTGGGCGGAAGACGGGGCGTTTCTCCCTAGAACCGTCCTGTCTGTGAGCAAGCACGTGAGCGGTTTCCGCAGGGCAGAGTGACAGGCCACGAGACATGAGCACAGGGGTTACGTCCTTAGAGGAATGAGGGGCAGACACGAGTGGGGGCAGGGGCCACCCCCGCCTGGCGCTTGCTCACTCTGTCCCCTCGCCAGCTTGTCTGCTCGCCTCGGGTCCCGCCCCATCCTAGGGGTCCTCCCCACATCTGGAGGGACCGCCCTCTGGTGGCTGAGGAGGGTAAACTGGGGGGGCCCGTGTCCCTGAAAACACAGAGTGTCCACGGCCGCACCTTCTCCAGCCGGATCCTCTCTCCGCACGCCGCGTCTAACCCGTTCTCAATCAAGATGAGGTCCTCGGAGGTGACTTTCCACTGGCGGCTGGCGAAGTGCACCACGGCGAAGAGCCGGCCGTACTGGCCCCCGGCGATCAGCTGGTTCACCTTGGCCACCACCTCTGCGGGAGACGGACAGTCTCGCCAGCGGAAGGCAGCAGCGTGCACCCCTGGCAGCGATTTCCTCATGTGCCCGGCCCCTTTCTGCCACCCCAGAGTGATGGGGAGCCCCCTGCAGGGCTGAGGACTGTGCTGCTTACCCCCCCGGCCCCCTGCATACACAGTCAGACAGTGGCACGGCCTGCTGTCCTGGGGTCCCGGCTCTGCGGCCATGGGCACTCCCAGACTTCACAGGTGGCCGCTGCCGCCCCACTGTGCTCCACCTCAGCTCCCTGACTCGGAGTGGAGGGAACCCCTCCTGGTCTGGTTACCAGCCACTGTTCTTAAAGGGCCCGAGGGCGGGTGGGTGTGCAAACCTGAGGCGAGGAGAGGCCTTGGTGCAGGGGCCCCAGCGTGACACCCCGCAGGCCCTGCTTCCTGCGTCTCGGCCACTGTTCCCTCCGGTCACCCTCCTTTGTCCGCACGGCGCACTGTCCCGCCAGAGGGCTCCTGAGAGTGACCCCCGCGCCTCAGAAGAGTGACAGCTGGCGGCGCGCCCCTGTCTCCAGTACCTGTGTGGTGTCGGGCCTCCTCCGTCGGGTCCGGCAGGACGACTTCTGGCCAAGGTGGCGAACTCAGGGACGTCTTGGGAACGTATCTGTAACACGCATGCACGCGCGTCGCCAGCCGTCCAAGCTCCAAGAGACAGCTGTGTGCAGCAGCGACGGGCCGACCTTGCTCTCCCGGACCTGGCCAGCCCGCCCCCGCCTCCACCTCCTGCCAGGCCCGCGCCCACCCCTCCTTTCGCCCCAGGTCCGTGGCCGGCTCCGCCACTGACGTGGCGTGGGACCTGGCCTACACCAAGTGGCACATGTACTCCATGCCTGGTCCTGTGGCTGAAAAGGTGGGCACCAGGGCACCGGCCCTCAGAGGCTGTGGGCACTGGGCTGACAGAGTGGGGTGTGGCCGGTGGGGGCTTCCCTGTGGGGCTCTGTCTGTGTAGCTCCCTCCTGCAGTTCCTGCTGATTTTGCCAAATTTACCTTTAGCAGTTTAGTCTCACTTCAGGGTGTTTCTGTTTTAAAGTCTGACACCCTAACAGCACGTGTACTTCCAGTGCCGTGGTTGCCGCTGGGGGCCCCGCTCCCGCCCACCAGTGGCTGGGCCTCCAGGCGGCATCTCAGGAAGAGCTACGTGCTCCCGGAAGCAAACACAGAGGCCGGGAGTACCCCCCACAGGACGTCTGGACTCGGTACACAATCCTGCGCATGAAAGGGAAGGGGCACCCACACCCACATTTTGATATTACCCTGCTGGAAATGAAGTGCTCTGAGAACGGAACCTTCTGGAAGCAGACCACAGGGAGGCTGAGGGAGTAAGAGAGACGTGTGGTTACTAATTCGCGACCGAGACCGCCCGCTGCTAAAGGCACAACCGCCGTTACTGGTGTCAGATCTCAACACACCCCAGCTTGTCTGTGAGAAACCGAGGCCAACAAAATGGAAAGGCCAGCACGGGAGCAGCCTGCGGCCTGAGGCATGTTCTCTGCTGAGCCACTCCTGACCCCCGAGGACCACTCAGCGTGTCCACCTCACCAGCCTGCCTGGACCGTTACCAGGGTCCGGCTCTCCCCACTGCCTGCCTTCTCCCTGCAGTCAGTGTGATCCCGTTGGATCATGCCACTATTTTGCCGAAACTCCCCAAGAGTTTCCCATTTCATGCAGAGAAAAAGCTGGAGTCCACATAACGGCCTGGAGCATGGTGGGCACAGCAGCCCCGGGGGCCCAGCTCTGCCTACTTCTGTCCACTCCACACCTGCCCCTCCGGCTTCCTCACTATTTCTGGAACATGCCTGGCACACGCCAGCCTCAGTCTTGACTCTAACTGCTCTTCTGCTGGGAACCTGCCTCCCTTCCCCCACACATCCAGAAGGCTAATTCCTTCCATTATCTCAGGCCTTCCCTGGGCGTCCTATTTAAAACCCAACCTTCTTCCCAGTTCATGTGCTGCTTTTCTCCATAAGACTCATCAACTCACATACTATGTATCTGTTTATTTTTTAAAAATTGCCCATCTTGGGGCCTCCCTGGTGGCGCAAGGGGTTGAGACACAACCTATGAAGCTGTCCACGGCCACTGCAGCGTGAGTTCGATCCCCTGGCCGGCCAGGGAGCAGCCCATGTGGCACAGCAGACCTCTCCTGGCTCACCCACTGCTCCCCTCAGCAGTATATTTAGGTAGGTCTGCCTGTTCTGCTCCCCACTCTGTCTCTGGTGATTCCTCTCACCCCTCATGTGTCTGGCCTGTACCCCAGATCTTGTATGCATAAATAAATCTTTAAAAAAAAATTGCCTTTCTCTCTACACACTCTTCCCCAAGAGTGCCAGTAATGTTAAAAGCAGGGATTATTGTTTTGGACACAGAACATATGTTCAATAAATGGTGAACAAATGAACGAACTCTACAAAGTCATAGAGTGAAGGCCCTGGAGGAGTATCTGTGACTGGGAATTTACTGTCTCTTTTGGGAGCGGCTCCACTGTTTAATGCTCAGACCATTTCTGTACCAGATCTGCCTCCCTGTAACTCATACCCAAGGTCTCAGCTTAGCCTGGACCTCACAGGGAACAAACGTACTCTTTTCTCTCCCATGGGACCCTCCTGTAGATTTCTGAGGACTATGACTCTCTTTCCATGCTGTTTCCTTCAACAACTCTTCAAGGTCCTGTCTGCTCACCTTTCTGGCCCCTTCTCTATGCTCATTTCACCTTGGTTGGGTTCCTCTATTCAGCTGTGGGTGTGAAAGAAAACACAGCATTCCAGAGGTGGTTTTATGTAGTAAGAATAGAGTAAGTCCCACTGCTTTTGTAAAAATGTCCAGGCCTCACACTTAGGGGAACTGTCAAGCATACAAGAGTAGGGAAAATAAGCAGATTGCAGACACCAATAAATATGTCAGGGTACTTTTATGAAAGATAAAGATCCTTTTAAAAGAACATAACCACACCATCACTAGTGCATCTAGAAAAAGGAATACCTCTACTATTATCAAATAGCTAGATGCCATTCAAAAATACAAGTAAATATGCTACACAAATACAGGTACGAAATATTTCAGGATGGATTTATAGTGCTTCTTTAAAAATATAATTTTTTGAGCTTTACAATAATCTAGTGTCTAAGATACAGCTGTCACTTTCATTGAATGATTTAAAATTAAGCAAAGACATTCAACACCCGTTCCCAGATCAGAATAGTAAGACGTCAGAGTGGTTCGCAACACGGGGCCGTCATTACAGCACAGGCTTTGGGGCCAAACACAGTGTCTGCCTTACCCCTCCCCACTTCCCTGCTGTGTGACCCTGGACAAGTTACCCAACCTCTCTGAGCTTCAGTTTGCTCCCCCGGTAGTGGGCCTATACGGAGGTCGAAGAGCTGTTGTCAACATTTAGGATGCTAGCTAAAGGGATCTGAATCCACGTCTCCGGACTCTACAACCCGCGCTATTCATTGCATCCAAACGCGATCAGCACCGGAGGCATCGTGCCAAGCACACACAGACACACACGTGCCGGGACGTCGGGGAGCGCGCCCGCCTGCTTCTCCCTTCACCCCACGGCCCGGGCCTCACCCGCTCCGGGGCCCGACGGCCTCAGGATGCTGCGGCTGCACGAGGACACCACCCGCCCAAACACGAGCGGCAAGGCCGAGGCGGCTATGGCCGCCGCCATCTTTCCACGGCCTCGGCCGGAAGCGGATGTGGACGCGGGGCGGAAGCGGAAACGGCGCGAACCTTGTACGTCGACGCACTGGGTCCGGTGGGGAACACGGCCCGCGCGGGGCAGCTGGGCCGCGGCGTCTTTGGGCCTAGGCCGGCGGCAGCGATGGCCTCGGCCACCGTGGAGAGCTTCGTGGCCAAACAGTTGGACCTGCTGGAGCTCGAGAGAGACGCCGAGGTCGAGGAGCGCAGGTACGGCCGCCGGCCTTTCCCTCCTGCCCAGTCCCCCCGGGTGGCCCGGCCTTTCCCTCCTGCCCAGCCCCGCTCAGCCCCGCTCGGGGCCGCACGCCCGGGGAGCCCCGACCTCGGGTCGGCGGGGCCCGGGGCCGGGGGTGGAAGCCTCGTCATCTCCCGGGCAGCCCGTTGCGCCTTTAGACCCCCGGAAGCCCTTTCTTTCCTCGACCTAAGCCCCCTCTGAATCTCCAGCCTGGTCCTCTCTCTGTCCCCAGTGGACCCCACGTCCACCCCGACTTGTTCTCTGCCCTTTTCTTTATCCCCCGCTTTGGTAACGTTTGCACCTGTTTTGTGCTGGGCCCTGGATAAGGTGGGGTCCGCAGCCCCCCTGGGTGGGAGCAGAAGGGGCAGGTGAAAGCCAGGGTGACCAGCGCCCGTGCCGTGTGTGCGGGGAGAAGTCGGCAGGAAGAGCAGCGGATCCCGGGGAGGGCTAAGGATGACTTAACCTTCACCCCAGCGCAGCTGCAGGAGGAGGGGCAGGAAGGGCCGCTCAGCATGTGAGGAAGGAGCCATGAGACCCGGAGATTGTTTGTGATGGGCAGTATTCACTTGACTGAAACACAAATTGCTGAACACTTACCAGGGGCAGTCAAAGCACTGATTTCTCTAAGCCTCATGTCTCTAAAATAGGACACTGGTGTTATTATCTCATACCTAAGAGGGCAGAGGTGAGGAGAGGTCAAGGGCAAGGCATAGTCAGGATGTGAGGCCCGGCAGTCTGGCTCCAGGGTTGGTGCTCAGCCACTGTCCGGCCGCCGTTGGTAGGGTTTGCGTGAGAAGCTTTTGCTCTTGAGAGCCAAGCCCTTTTGCCACCCATGGACGTCAGTGGCAGCCCAGCTCCTCCTTTCATGGCTGTGTGGCTTTGCAGGCCGGCCCCTGAGCCCTGAGCATCCTCATCTGTAAAGTGGGATTATTCCCACTGCATGGGTTTGCTGTGAGGGGAAACCATCTACCATAGGTCAGAGTCCTGAGCACGAGCGAGTGCAGAGACAGCTCCGTGCAGAGACAGTCTGGTCAGATGAGCAGGGCTGTGGGGGAGTGCGTGCCCAGTGGCCCTCAGCGCAGCCAAGCAGGCAAGAAAGGGTACTCGGTTTGCGAGTAGGGAGGAGCCTGGGGTGCTGTTGCTTGAGCAGCTGGACAGGCAGTGCCCAGAGATGAGGCCTCCAGGAAGCTCTCCGTCCAGGCTGCCAGTGATATGGGCTTGAGCCAGGCTGTGGCCGGGGGTGAGAGGCAGAGGTGGCTTCAGGGCATTTTTGCTGGATATCTTCTCTCCAACAATGTAATCCTGATAGAACCTAGTGGGGTGGAACTGGGGTGAGAGGGAGAGTAAAGGTGATGGGCCTGAGGGGAAACCAATGGGAGAGCAGCTCCTCCCCCACCCCCACCCCCCATATGGACGAGGGGAAAGCTGGCAAAGTGCAGGTCTCGGCGTCTCATGGGCTGTCTTCCAGGTCCTGGCAGGAGCACATCTCCCTGAAAGAGCTGCAGAGCCGTGGGGTGTGTCTGCTGAAGCTGCAGGTGTCCAGCCAGAGGACCGGGCTGTACGGACGGCTGCTGGTCACCTTGGAGCCCCGGAGATGTGCAGCAGCGACCCTGCTTCCCAGCAACAGCTTTACCCCCGGTATTGCAGCTTTGACTGTTGTTGGCCCCCAGACTGCGACTTTCACCCCATGAGCAGGGCCCACACCTGGCGTTCGGGGCCAGAGCTTTGCAGCTACAGGCATGGCTTCCTGGGAGTCTGGGTCTGCATAGCCCAGGACGGCGGCCCTGGCCACTTGAAAAGTGGCTGGTGCTTGCTACGTGCGTAAGACTCACCAGATTTTGAAGGTTTAACTCCCCCAAATTGTAGTTTATGTCAGGAGTGAGTTTTTTGCAATCTGACCACAGGTGGAAATATCGTTCACATACTGGGTTAAGTGAAGTCAGCATCGAGATGGGTTTAGCTGTTTCTCTTTGATTTTTCAACTTGGCCGCTTGGAGCTCGGTGCTGGCACTGCGTTCCCTGGGGCGGCCCTGGTCCAGATCGTGCTGCGTACATGAGTGACCCCGGCGCCCACCCTGTTCTCAGGCCAAGCAGACTCGGGCTAGGCTTGCGGCATCCCTGCTGGACAGGGGTGGGGACTGTGGGAAGAAGTCTGTCACCCACACGGCCAGCGCACCCGTTTTAGACATCATACATGGAAAAGGAGAAAGCAGCATCACCCGCACCATACTTCCCCCAAGAAGTCTCCCCACCTAGTTTTGGTGGTGACAGAGACTTGGAATTACCAGGGCTCTGGCCCCACAGTTGTTGGAACGCTGGCTGGGCTTGGACATGGATGGGGTGGGGAGAAAGGACTGGTCAGAGGCAGATCTTGCTCCTGCAGCCTCTCTGGTTTCTGGTCCAGCCGGGGAGAGTGAGTGTCTCTTTCTCAGGTGCCCAGGCAGACATCTCGCTGCGTCTCAGGGTGCTGATGTCAGCTGACCCATCCTGAGCCAGCCCTTGTGGCTGGGGACGTGGGAGCACGCTCTGTCCCCGGCCCTAGACTCAAGATGTCTCGAGATGGAGAGGGCTATACTGAGTGGGGGCAAGCAACCACTGCCTCCCACCCGAATGACCTCCCTCGGAGGTGCTCGGGCCCCCACTGTGTTCAGGGTCACCCTCGGGGATCCCTCCCCACATGCTCACCCCTCTGCCCCTGCCCTGGGGCCCTTGGCACTGGCATCTGAGAGGTGGTTGTGTTGGTTCCTCCCTAACGTGACGGTGCGGGTGGTTTTCTTCCTCATCAGCCCGGTATCCAGAACAGAGCCTGGTGCACAGTAGGCACTTTAAGTATTTATTTGATTGTCATGTTTGTTTTGAACAGTTCACTGACCTCAGGTCAGTTTTCACATGTGATTTAGGCATTAAAAATGTTTTTCCGATTGCTTTTGATTTCATCTATTAAGGAAGGAAACGGGTGTGACGTCTGGCACCCACACAGGATTTATTATATGAAATAACTCACTTTTCACGTGGGTCAGCGTCTGATGTAACCAAGCCCTTGTTTCTGCAGGTGACATAGTGGGCCTGTATGAGGCGAACGAGGGCGGGCAGCTGGCCACCGGGATCCTGACCCGGATCACCCAGAAATCGGTCACGGTGGCCTTCGACGAGACCCGGGACGTCCAGCTGAGCTCGGACCGAGAGAATTCCTACCGACTGGTGAAACTTGCGAACGACGTCACTTACAAGCGTCTGAAAAGGTGAGTGTGAGTGACTGGAGGTCGCCTGAGCTCGGTGCTCCCCTCTGGCCACTTGGCCTGCGAGAGGGGATGCCCCCGGCCTTCCTGGGGGGCTGTGGGCGGCCCTGGGTGGCTCAGGCGCTGGTGGGTGGGGCTCCACGCAGCCCTGATGGCAGGTGTCCCCCTCGGCAGAGCCCTCGTCGCCCTCAGGAAGCACCATTCTGGCCCCGCCTCCCCGCTGATCGAGGTCCTCTTCGGGGGATCGGCCCCCAGCCCGGCCAGGGACACTGGTGAGGACTTGTGCTTCTCTTTCTGGTTGAAATCACTGCTGACAGGTCTTGCCAACCTTTTTGCCCAGAGTTTGAGAATGTCCGGTTAGAGGAAGCCTATATTGATAGAAAGTCTATGTATCAATATTCCTATATTGATAGGAAGTGTATGTATTTCTAGAATGGTCTTTGAGTGCCTTGTGCGGACTGGATGCTCTTTCTGTTCTCAGGACCAAAGAGGCAGCTTCCGCACATCCGAGCATTTCATTTTGAGCTTTGTGCCTGCTGGCATCCGAGCATTTCATTTTGAGATGTGGGGATTTCTGCAGCGCGGCGCGGGGGCGGTGGAGCCTGCAGGGTGCTGCGCTTGGGAGCGTTTTGATGTGAAAAGTCTTAATTTTGAATTCATTTCATTGTTTTTCAGTGCCTTCAGATTTTAGGTCACTCACTTTGGATTGTAAGGGCGGTTGGTCGCGTTAATTGTGCATTTGGAAATAAGGCAGCACGTCAGACAGGGAAGCAGCGCCTGCCGCGCCGACCTTCCCTGTGCTTTCCCTGCCTCCGCGTGGAGGGATGTCCGTGCTGCACGCGCACACCAGAGACACACACACACATCCCAGATACGCCCCCCGCGCACATACACCACACACAGTCACATACACTAACACTCACTTGCACACACTCACGCTCCCTCACACTCATCCCGCTCTTTTCACTTGGGGTGGTTGGGGTCCTGGCCCTCGTCCTCACCCCACCCCGTTTCTGAGCGGCGTCACCATTGCGTCCCGCGGCTGCCGTTCCTCCGCCCCCACTGGGTGCTGGGCTCACGGTGCTCACAGCGCGCCCCGACAGGCCTGCCCGGCCTCGGCATCTTGCTGGGTGAGCACTCAGGGTGGCCCCGGTGCTCGCAGGGGCGCTCCCAAATGTGGGGACTGACATTCACTGTCATCTCTGCCAAATCCTGACCGAGAGGCTGCTCTGTGCGGGGCGCAGATGCGAAGCCCAGTTCCCCCATCGTCAGGAACGAGGCACCTTTGACCACGCGGTGCTCGGGGGGCTCAGGGCAAAGTCGCGGGGGTGCTGGGACCTGGGTGGGAGGCGCGTCACCGCTTCCCGGGGCTGTCTCCGTCGTCTTGCTTTGTCGGCCGGCCTGTGCTGTCCGGCGTCTGTGCTGTCCTGCATCTGTGCAGCGCCTGTGCTGGGTGCCGTGGCAGCAGAGAGGCCGTGGGCGCCTCCCACGGACCCAGAGTCCCCAAAGCAAATAGCCAGTGGGGGTCGTGCAGATCAGAATCAGAACAGAAACCCAGCCCCAGAGCTGACCGGCAGCTTGTTTTGTCTGTTGTTCTGTCCCTTCCCGGCACCTGAGGGGCCGGTGTGGGGGCTCACCTGCCGGAAGCATCTGCGGGGCAGGTCTGGCCCGGCCCGTGGTGGGGCAGGATGTCAGTGTGCGGGCCCCGCAGGCCGTGTGGCTCCTCTTGCACTCACGCCGCAGATGCTGCAGCACACCAGCCGCCAGAGGCCGTTGCGCGGGCGTGGGCCTGGCTGTGGTCCAGAAACCTGCCTCCAGAGCAGGCAGTGGCGGGTGCAGCCGGGGCCCCGTGGGAAAATCTCCTGAAGATGTTTGTGGCTTCGTAGTGACGGGCGGCTGGGGGAGCACAGCTCCCGAGTCCCTCTCCCTCATGGTAGCGCCCCCACAATGGGGCTGGGGCCTGACACCGCTGCCTTCCCTGCAGGCCCCCTGACCTTCGCGAACACGTCCCTGGATGCCTCCCAGCAGGAAGCAGTTTCCTTTGCGCTGTCCCAGAAAGAGCTGGCCATCATCCACGGCCCCCCCGGCACCGGGAAGACCACGACGGTGGTGGAGGTCATCCAGCAGGTGGTGAAGCAGGGCCTCAAGGTGGGCAGGCAGCAGTGCTGGCCGCATCCTCACCGAGGGGACGCTGGCTGCGCCTGCTCTGGTTTCTGACAGGTGCACAGGCTTGGGGGCGTGCGGGAGCTCGGGTCTGGGTGACGGAGCAGTTCTTGCAGCCCCCCAGCAGGAGGCCTTTGTGGAGGCCTCTGGCAGCATCATGCCAGGCCTGGACTTGGCCTGTCGGCTGTGCCCGCAGGAGCCCAGGCGGCTGAGGGACGCCCGTGCACGGCTCGGAGGGCTCTACTCTGGGCAGTCGGGCCGGCGCTTGTCAGCGGAGGGTCTCACTCTCTGCTTCGACGCGGGTCCTGGGGACTCAGCCGGGGCCTCACAGACTCTGGTCTCTGTGTGTCGGTGTGGAGGGCTGGGGTGGCCGTGGCCTGCGTGCGGGCGGGCGGGAACGCGAGGGCCGTATGTGACCCTGCAGTTGTCTATGCCCCTCGGGTGGTCTTTGTGCGAACTTAGGGGTTTAATTAAACGAGCCCCCACGCCGACGTCAGCCTCGCCCCAGGTTCTGTGCTGTGCACCCTCCAATGTGGCCGTGGACAACCTGGTGGAGCGGCTGGCACGGAGCAAGCTGAGGCTCCTGCGCCTGGGCCACCCTGCCCGCCTGCTCGAGTCCACCCAGCAGCACTCGCTGGACGCTGTCCTGGCGCGGGGCGATGGCGCCCGCATCGTGGCTGACATCAGGAAGGACATCGACCAGGCCTTGGTAAGTGTCCTGCAGGCCTCAGGTGGCGCCTGGCCTGCTGCCGCGCGGGTCTGTCCACGTCCCTCTGCCCTCTGCGGCCTCCGTGGACTCACTTGATGGGTCCTGACGTGGGCACCGCCCCCTGTGTGGAGCCCGTCCTGGCGGCCGGTAAGAGCTGGCCATGGTGGGGGGCGGAAGGAGGACGCGTCCCTCCCGGCTCAGGCTGTGGGTGACATCCGCAGGAAAAGGGCAACCTGGGGCCTGAGAATAGAAGTTTATGAGACATGCCTTCTCCCCGCGCTGTGGGTCCACCTCACGCCGTCTTTGCCACAAGAACCGGGGTGTGTGAGGGCGTCTCCCCGTGGTTGCACCCCAGCCCTCCGCCCCTTGAGGTGGGCGTCTGTCCCACCTCCCTGCGTCCTGCCCAGGGGCTCCCGCCTCGGCTTGCTGCCTGCCGGCGCTGGCCTGCTGCTTGTCAGCCGTGGCCTCACCAGGTGGGGCCCCCGGGAAGGTGGGGACAAGGACACGCCGGCACCCAGGTGAGCGGTGACGCGGGAAGAGCTGGGCTGGCGCTGGGCTCCTCCGCCTGTGCTCGCAGGCCTGCTCAGCCAGCAGCGCGCCTGCCCCAGAGCTGCTCCAGCGCAGAGGGCCGAGGGCGGGGGCTACAGGCGTGCTGAGAGTTTACGGTGGGGCCGCAGGACTCCTTCTCTGGGGCTGAAGAAGTGTTTTTAATCTCTTGACAAATGTGGAGGCCAGTAGCGCTCCGCTCCGCTTGTAAACCCGGGAGCTGCTGCTGCCCCGCGCAAGTCCAGCAGCGGCCCCGCGGCCTGAGAGCCAGTGTCCACAGCTGCAGCCGGGGCGCTCCCGCCCGAGCACCCGGCCGCCCCGCAGCCTCCCAGGTGACTGTCGCTCCCGGGCCGGCAGTGGCACCTCGAGACCGTCCGAATGTCAGGCGCGTAGCGTGTCTGTCGCTCCATCAGGAACGCTTTTTAGTGTCTCCAGGAGCCGCTTGAAGCGCAGCGGCCGACTGTAAACAAGGACAACGCGCGGGGAGCCCGCCCGCAGCGCAGGCGTGAGGAGCCCGGCGCGGCCCGGCTGCCTGTTGGACGCTGCGGAGTCTGGCAGGACAGTCGTTTCCTCTTGCCCCGTAGGCGAGGAGCAGGAAGACCCAGGATAAGGGGGAGAGAAGCAGCTTTCGAGATGAAGTCCGGCAGCTGAGGAAGGAGCTGAAGGAGCGGGAGGAGGCGGCGACGCTGGAGAGCCTCCGCTCGGCCGACGTGGTCCTGGCCACCAACACAGGTGGGCCCCCCGCCCGCCCGGGTCCCGTCTCCTCGGAAGCTCGCGTGGCGCTGTCCTGCCTGAGCTGCCCACGGCCTCCCAGCTGCAGCGCTGGACTCGGCCTCGAGCGAGTGCTGCCTCCGTGGCCATCACAGGCGTGGGGGTCACGGCCACCGCGGAACCGGGGGGGAGCAGGGCCAGGCACCCGGAACCACCGCTGCGCCTCCCCAGGTGGAGTCATGGTGGGGCTGAGCGTCCCCCAGATGGGGGCTGCAGGCCTTTGGCTCATGTCTGCGAAGCTGATCTGGCTTTTCAGAGACTCCGCCTCGGTTTTTTGTGCTGGCCGCCTCCTCCGGCCGGCATTAAACCAGGACTTGGGGAGATCTCAAGGACCCCCCGCCCCGTTCTGGATCTGCACGGACTTTCAGGCTTCTCTGGCGGGGGTGGGGGCGGGAGCACAGTAGGGTTTGGACATGCCTGCCCTTGACTGTGCCGCCCAGCTGCTGCCCCTCGGCCTTCTGGGGCATCTTCCCCAAACCAGGTTCACTGACGGAGGCATTGGAGTGGCCAGTGGCTCAGGACACGCTGCCCCCCACTTCAGCGGGGGGACTCGGACCAGCAGCAATTTTGTGTCTTAGGTTTTATCCCAAGAGCGAAGCCACACGCAGCTGCAGGCGGGGCGGTGAGGCGGGGCGGGGGCCCTCCAGCGCGCCGGCTGCTCAGTGGGCACGAACTTCCCCAGGTGCGTCCCCGGACGGCCCCCTGAAGCTGCTGCCCGACGGCGCCTTCGACGTGGTGGTCATTGACGAGTGTGGGCAGGCGCTGGAGGCCAGCTGCTGGATCCCCCTGCTGAAGGCGGGGAAGTGCATCCTGGCGGGTGACCACAAGCAGCTGCCCCCCACTATTACCTCCCACAAGTAGGCGCCCCGCCCCGCCCCAGGCCCTCGCCAGGGCCTCTCTGCCCCGGGGCCCAGGGTGTGCGATGGCAGGGCCCAGGCGTGTGCTCCCGAGGGCCGGGCCCTTCACCGCGGTCCCCATCTGGCCGCGCCCAGTGATGCGTTGGGTGAAGACCCGTGACGGGTTGGGCGGGGGTGCCCACGGCCGTGGCCATGCTCCCCGGCTGTGCTGACCGACCGCGGGCCCTTGGACCATGGCTGGCTCGGGGCTCCATCCTTGGCTGTGAGGCCACACCAGACCCGCCCTGCCCTCCTCTCCCTGCCTCCCCGGTGCCCCTCTGCTGCCCCCAGCCCACACCACGCCCTCCCTCACACTGGACCGTCACCTCCCCTCTTTTCTGCCGGGGGTTCTCCTGGTCATGGCCTGGGACGCCCCATCTAAAACAGCCATCCCCTGTGGCCCGCGGCGGGCACCCTTTGTTCACCGTGTGTCTCCGGCTGGAGTACAGGCCCGTGAGGCCTGCGCGTGGGTCTCTGGGTGTTCCTTCTCGTCCGCAAAGTCCCCTTTCTTACATAGGGGATCTGGGATCGGGGTGTGTGGGCTTTGGGGGGCGATTTCCAGCCAACCACACTCTTACTTAAGGCCAGACCCGAGGGGCAAGTTGGGGTCTGAGGTCTGGGGCTGCTTTCCTTCGCCCCGGCTCCTCGCTGGGCTGAGGACTCAGGCCCCTGTGCCCCTCTCCCCGCAGGGCTGCGCAGGCGGGGCTGGCGCTCAGCCTGATGGAGCGGCTGGCGGAGGAGCGGGGCCCCGGCGTGGTGTGCACGCTGACCGTGCAGTACCGCATGCACCGCGCCATCATGCAGTGGGCCTCGGAGGCGCTGTACGGCGGGCAGCTCACAGCCCACCCTTCCGTGGCGGAGCACCTCCTGCGGTGAGACTCGGGTGTGCGCCCCTGCCTGGCCCCTGCCCCTGCCAAGCCCCGGTCCCTGCCCCTGCCGGGCCCCAGTCCCCTGAGCTACGCTCTGTGGAGATTTTGGAGCAAAGCCACCTCTGAGACTAGTTCTGGGAGGGAGCGCAGTCTGGCCCGGGAAGGGCCTGGAATTTGCTGTTCCTGCTCCTTGTATCCCACGGGTGAGGAGCGGGAGGCAGTGTGAGTCCTGTTTGAGGGCCTCAGTGGCCTCACGGGCTTGGTCTGCGTGCAGGGACCTCCCAGGAGTGGCTGACACGGAGGAGACGGGCACGCCCCTGCTGCTGGTGGACACGGCTGGCTGCGGGCTGTTCGAGATGGACCAGGAGGACGAGCAGTCTAAGGGGAACCTTGGTGAGCTGGCTGGGAGGAGCCGTGGGGGAGGGCCGGGGGAGCTGTGGGGGCGAGCCTAGCACCCTGAAGCTGACCTCGACGTGCTGTCTGGAAGCAGGCTGCACAGGCTCGGTGGCGCTGGGGTCTGTGTCCTTGTGCTAGTTCGGCGCCCAGCTCGGCCTGGCCTGGCCTTGGGGCAAGAGCCCTCTCCCTTCTGCTCAGGCCCAGGCCCAGGGCTGCCAGGGGGTCAGGGCAGGCTCAGGACAAGGTGACCTGTGCTCAAGCAACGCTGGCTGTCGGCAACCCTGAGCCCCCGCCCTCGCCCCGGATGCCCTCGGGCCCAGCGCTGATGGCAGCTGTTCACCCAGAGGCCTCTCGCTTCCTACAGGTGAAGTGCGCCTGGTCAGCCTGCATGTCCAGGCCCTGGTGGACGCTGGGGTCCCGGCAAGGGACGTGGCCATCATCACGCCGTACAACCTCCAGGTGGGGGCCCCCACGTCTCTCTCTGTGTCATGGACAGGCCATGGTGAATAAAAGGGCAGTTGATGGGCTTTCGTGACCAAAGACTCCAGGGTGGAATTGACTACCTCACCCCTGGGCTCTGCTCACTCTCCGTCCACCCGTCCACCTGTTTGCCTGACCCATCTCCCTTGCTGTGCCGCAGCCCCACCCACCAGATGGCTCGGGCCAGAACTTCATCCCAGGGGGACACCTGTCATGCCTTCCCCTCAAAGCTCCCAGCGGGTGCCTGGCCAGCTGGCTCAGCTCACCCCGGCCCTGGGCTGGCTCTAGCAGGCGGGGTCCTGCTTCTCTGGGCCGGGCAGCAGTAATGCGGGTCTGCCCCCACTTCTCAGAGCCCACGTGCTTGCAGAGCAAGGCCGGGTCCTCAGGGAGGAAGACTCCAGCCGCAGCGTGCAAGGAGGGCCAGCACGCTCACGCCCCTGGCCTCCTGGCTAACACTTGCCGGGGCCCAGCGGGTGGCCTCATGGCCAAGGAAGGTGGTGGCTCTCAGGCTGGGGCATCCAGGCCGTGAGCGTGTGATCTGCGTGGGTGCAAGCAGGCCGTGAGGCAGGCCCTGTGGGGCTTCCCGCCAGGAGGGGGTTGCCCAGCGGAAAGGCAGGCTTGGAGTCTGAGGCCTGCCCTGCGGTGTTTCAGGTGGACCTGCTCCGGCAGAGCCTCAGTCACAAGCACCCCGAGCTTGAGATCAAGTCCGTTGATGGCTTCCAAGGCCGAGAGAAGGAGGCCGTGATTCTGTCCTTCGTCAGGTCCAACAGGAAAGGTGCGTGCGGGTGGGCGTCCCTGGGCGGCTGGGTGCCTGCTGGCCCGTGGTGTGGACAGCGTCCCCCAGAGTGCACCGTCCTGCGGAGGAGACCATGGAAAGAGCCACAGCCCCACAGTGTGGGGCGGCCTAGCCGGGCAGGCGCTGGCCCCGGGCAGAGGTGCCCGAGCGAGTGGAGGGGAGGGGGTACCGGCAGGGGGTGCAGAGCGGAAGCACTGAGGCACATGGCTGTGGGGTGCTGCCCGGGACACCCGTCTGCACAGAGGTGGCTCCCAGAGCGCCCCTTGGGCCTCATGGCACTGCTTGGGCTGCGTTCCCAGGTGGAAACAGGGGGTGGTTACCCCCGCTGCCTACAACCCGCCCCCACCCCGTGCTTCCCTGTTGGTCCCGGCGGTCCCAGCCGCTTCCCCAGCCTGGCTGAGGGAGGCGGCGGCGGCGTCTGTGCTGGGAACGAGCAACGACCCAAGCAGCCGCGGGATCCCCGGCGTGTGGGGAGGCTGGGGCAGGGGGTGGGGCGGGAGCGCGCCGCATAGGGTCCCCGCCGAGGGGCCGTGGGGCCTGCTGTCCGCACCTGGGCTCAGGTCTGCCGTCCCCAGGGGAGGTTGGCTTCCTGGCCGAGGACCGGCGCATCAACGTGGCCGTGACCCGCGCTCGGCGCCACGTGGCCGTCGTCTGCGACTCCCGCACGGTGGGCAGCCACGCCTTCCTGAGGACCCTGCTGGACTACGTCGCGGAGCACGGCGAGGTGCGCACCGCCTTCGAGTACCTGGACGACCTCGTCCCGGAGAACTATTCCCACGAGAGCACCCCGGGCCCCGGCCGAGCAGGCGCGAAGCCCGCGGGGCCCTCGATGGCCAGGAAGCCCGCGGGCGGGCGGCGGCAGGCGGCCCCGGAGGCCCGAGCAGCTGCCAGGCCGGCCCAGGGGCGACCAGGCGGCAAGCAGCCCGGCCCGGAGGTCCCGCCGCAGCCTGGGCCCGGGGGCGCGGAGAGCAGCAGCGGCGGCGCAGCCCACTTCCGGGCCGTGCTGGAGGAGTTTGTGGGGAGCACGCGCGCGCAGCTGGAGTTCCCCGCGTCCCTGAGCGCCCGCGACAGGATGCTGGTGCACCAGGCGGCCGAGGAGCTGGGGCTGCGGCACGACAGCGCCGGGGAGGGCAAGAGGAGGTTCATCACCGTGACCAAGAGGGCCCCGGCCGCCCCGCCGCCCCCCGGCCCCGGCAGAGCCTCCCTCCCTCCCGCAGCCTCCAGCCTCTCCGCCAGCGAGCCCCCGCCCAGGGAGCCCCGCGGCCCGGAGCAGCCGGACCTGAAGGCCCCGCACCTGGAGCGGCTGCCGAGGGCCGGTGGCCAGCAGGAGCCTGCAGCCGAGAGGGCACTGCACGCCGCAGCCTCAGGGCCGCGCAAGGTGCCCGACAGGAAGAAGAAACGAGAAGTGAAAGGTGAGTCGGTGGCAGGTGAGCACCGCATGCGCCCCCAGCGCCCTCCAGAGGAGGTGGGGCTCCTCCCGCCGGCCCACGCCTCGCCCTGCTCCTTGCCCTGCTCCTCAGGCTCTGTCTGAGGTCCCCGGGGGTGGACACTGGCCGAAGTGCCCTTCCCGCCCCCCCACCCCGGAGCCTGGTGCAGGCCGGGGAATGGGGGGGGAGCCCCACGGGAGGGGCACGGTCCCCGGCCCAGCAGCGGGCAGTGCGGGCGCACACCTGGGCCCCGCACCCCACGCCCCTCCCTGGTGACTGAGCTGCCCGGCCACAGCGCAAAGGCCCGGTTGTGTGCACAGCCTGGGTTTTCTGGGGGGTTCCGGCTGCACTCATGTCTCTGCCCTTCCCTGTCGGTGAGCATCTGGGGTGTCCCTGTGCCCGCCCTCCCGCTCGCTCAGTCCTGGGGGCGGGGCCGCGTGCGCAGTTGTCGGCCTCAGGCCGGCGCCCCCGTCTCAACCCAGTGGAGAGAGGCGGCTGCCGCCCAGGGCTGGGGCTGGCGTGTGCTCTGTCCCCTCCGCGCGCCGCCCCGCGCTGTCAGGCTCGGCACGTCTCCTGGCCACCCCCAGCCCCCACCCGTGCTCAGCTTGTTCCCGGCCTTTGTTTTGAGCTTTAGTTTTGACGTTTGCCCTGAGCCGCGCCCTTTTGCTGAAATGTCTCTCTGGGCTCCGGGGGTGACTCCAGGAGGCCGTGTGCACGCCCCTCGGCCCGCAGAAGGCCTCCCACACCCCTGGGCCGGTTCCTAGCAGCGGGGTTGGACTCTGAGCTGTGGGACACGTGTGTGCACCCCAAGTGGGAAGCGGCGCAGCGCTCCGGCCGAGCCCTCACCCCCTGTGCTCGCCAGGGCCGGCGCTCCTGGACCTGCCCGCCGAGGAGGACTTCGACGCCCTGGTCTCGGCCGCCGTGAAGGCGGATAACACCTGCGGCTTTGCTAAGTGCTCGGCCAGCGTGGCCACCCTGGGCCAGCTCTGCCCGCACTGCGGCCGCCGCTACTGCCTCAGCCACCACCTGCCCGAGGTGCGCGGGCCTCCTGGCGGGAGGGGGCTCGGCCCTGCCTGGAGTGGGGGTGGTGGGGCCGGGCTGGGGAGAGTGGGGGCTGCGAGGGCCTGGTGAGCGACTGGAGGAACTTAGGCCAGCCTGGCAGTCACGGGCGCCCCGGAGGAGCCGTGGTGCAGGGCCTGTTTTTCCTGGTGGTCAGCGCAGGGTGGGGGCAGCTCCCACAGGCCTGGACTTTTGAAGGAAAAGTCATTTTCTGCCCAGAGGAGACATGATCCGCCTTGGGGGTCCCGGGCTGAGACCTGCCTCTGCTAGGCCTGTGGGCTTGTCTCCCCACAAGGGACACGGCCGTCAGGGAGCTTGGGGTGGGCCCGGCCCAGCCCTGGCCGGGCGAAGGGAGGCATGGGGCGTGGGTGCCCAGCCTCTGCCCTCCCCTGCCGGGCCACATGGTCCTGACTGTCGCGTGCCCCAGGTCCACGGCTGCGGGGAGAAGGCGCGTGCCCACGCCCGGCAGAGGCTCAGCCGGGAAGGAGTCCTCTACCCGGGTAGCGGCACCAAGGACCGGTCCCTGGACCCAGCCAAGCGGGCCCAGCTGCAGAGGAGGCTGGATAAAAAGCTGGACGAACTGACCAGCCAGAGGAAGAGCAGACGGAAGGACAGGGAGAAGTGAGGGCCCGGGCCCCTGAGGACAGTGTGGCGGGCAGGCGGCCCACGGCCTCGCCGAGAGGGTCCTGTCCGCCGAGCCACCCCCCGTGACAGTGGACCCCAGCCCCGGCCCCCGCGGGGTGCTGCCGGTGCCGGGAGCCCTGTGTGCCCCGTCCCTGGAGACACGCCTGCGCACAGACTCCATCGGGGGACCCCCCCACCCGGGCTGCCCGCTCTCAGCCCATGGGGGCGGTGGCTCCCCACGGCCTCGGTCCTTCTGTCTCTTCCCGGGTGCTGCAGGGGCCGCCTGCTCCCATGAGGCCCCGGGGCTCCTGGTGGTCCCAGCCCGTCCTGCACTGGGTCCTGGGCAGGTCCGGGGAGCTGTCCCCATGTCCCGGGGACTGCGTGGCTACACCTCCCTCCGGCTGACCTCTGCCGCGGACCTTGCGTGAGAAAACCTTAGAGGATGTGCCGTTTCGGCCTCGGGATCGACTTGTGTAAAGGGATAAAATCTTTAAAAACCAATTGAAAGTTTGCACACAGCCCGCAGCGAGTAGTTCCGTGTCTGAAGCGCGTTTTCTCCCTTCGTGACGGTGCCACCTTCCCCGGCTCAGAGCCCGGTGGCGCCTGCTGGGGCGCCTGTCCTGCTGCCAGATGACTGGGCAGGGGAACCTGTGCCGTTTGGCAGAAATTCCAGATGGGGACGCTCAGAGTTGAGACCTGCCGGGGTGTCGGGTCGGGTGGGGCGACAGCGAGACTAAGGGGAGCAGGGGTGGCGAGGGGCTGTGGCGGCCACCGCCCTCCCCCCAGGCCTGAGGGCCGGCCGTCTGCCCTCCACCCCGCCCCCACCTGCCCTCCCGCCCCCGCGTGCCCGGGCCTCGGTGGGCTCAGCTCCCCCACCTGGGGCCGCCCCCAGCCCCTCGTGCACCGTAGTCGGCGCTGGAGGAGCTGGTCCCTGCTGGGCCGCGCCCTTGACCTCTCTGGTCTGGCCGGTGCTGAGTAGCCTCTCGAGGGGCACTGCCCCCAATGTCCTCGCGTGTCACCCTCTCCGGGGACAGCCCCTGATGTCCTCTCAGTGCCACCTCCTGGGTTGGATGTCCCCCCACGCCCGCCCTGGCCTGACCCCCTCGCTGTGCCCCTCCCGCTCCCCTTTGCCAGACGCTGGCCTCGCCAGCTCCTGCCACGGGGCTGGGGACTGGGTATTTCCAGAAGGGCGGCCTGTGTGTGTGGGCCCGCCCCGTCCTGTCAGTGGTTTATGGAGGTGCAGAGTCTGCCTCAGGACGCTTGGCGGGCAGGGAGTGTGGACAGCTGATGGCGGGGGCGGGAGGCGGCATTTGGGGCTCCACCGTGTGCTTGTCGAGGGCCTGGTGGCAGCACCGGCCTGTCCCTCAGCCTTCGTGGGAGTGAGCCCTGGCCCCAGACGCCGGCCACGCGCCCTCAGCCGGCGCCCTCAGCCCGGCGGTCAGGGGACCGGGCCTCCGGCCGCAGCAAGGCCAGGTTCAGGCGCGGGCTCCCCAGCCCCGGCTGTGCCGAGAAGGCTCTGCGGCTGGCAGGCCCCTGGCGGTGCCCCCTGGCGGTGCCGAGCCGCGCGGTCTGGGGTCAGCCGCCCACGTCCGCCCTGGAGGGCTCCCCCCACCCCACCGACCTCCTCGCAAGCTGGGCTGGACGCATGGTTGAAATATCACAGTTTCCATCTCTCCTCCAGGGAGACCTTGTTAGGAAAATGTTTGTAGCTGGTGGCTCGAAAAACATCCCCGCTTTGGCCAGGACGGGGCGCCCAAGAAAATGGGAAAAAACATCTCTAGCCAAGACTTCCCGGCCAGCGAGGGCGCGGTGCTGGCCCGCCCTCCCCGGGGACGCGGGTGGGGGGCTGTGTTTTCCTCCGGGCGCAGGGAGAAACGGTGCGGGAGGGAGCCTGGGGTTCACCGCGGGTTTGCTCCCCGACGGGCTGTGACTGCGCCTCGGCATCTTCAGCCGTGAAGCGGGAGACGGCGGGAGGTGTCTCTCTGACGAGATGCTCTAAACGCGCGGGCCCCCAAAACGAGGTGCCTCCAGCCCCCAGGAAAGGCCCGTGGCTGCCATCAGCGGGGAGGTGGGAGGAGAGGAGGCGGCACCTGGGAGGGGTCAGCCCACGGCGCCCCCGCACGAGGCCGGTGGCAGTGGCGGAGCCGGGCCCGGCCGGCCCTCCTGTGTTTACCTGGGGTGTTTGGAGCGTTACCCGGGGGGACAGGAGGGGCTGATGGCACCAGGAAGCTTCAGGCCTGCCACTTACAAGGAGCTGTGCTCTGTGCCAGCAGCGCCGCTGAAGCTGCAGCCTTATTTGGTCTGGAAACGTCTCTGCCTGGAGGAAAGTGGAGCCGGTGAGCCGACTTGTCCCCTGGCCGGGCATGGATCTCGGACGCCGCCAGGATGGGCTGTCCGGCGCGTGAATCACCCCGACCGCGCTCCCCTCCCGCTCTGGCTGCCCACCCTCTCCAGGGCGACGCCCCTTCCCCTGGGGCCCCGCTCAGCTCCCCCCTCCCCGCTTCCCTTGCCCCCCCCCCCCCCCCCCCCCGCCAAGGAGTTGCCCCGCTGGGCTCTGCTGAGGTGGGGCTTCATGCTGTCGGAGCCCCCCTGCGGGTGCGGTATGAATTCAGGGGTGCCGGGTCGCACCCCCGGCCCCCCAAGCCCGTGGGCAGCGTCAGCTGAGGAAATCCCTCCTGGCCTGAGTGTGTGGGCAGATTTTATTTACTTACACACTTTCTATGCGTTTTTTTGGTCTCACGCCTTTTTACTTTAATCTGTTCGATGCCCGCGGTCGTCCCTCGGGCCCCCCGGGCCCCTGCTCCTCTCCCCGCCCCCTTCACCGGGAAACCTCGCTTCGTTCTTCGGTGTCGCCGGTTATTTTAAGTACTTTGCTCTGTTTTCACCTTTATGGTCCCGACCACGCTCTGGCCTTCGTCACGCGCGTCCCGCGCCCGTTGAGAGGGGCGTGTGGCTCGGGCCCCCCTTTCTATGCGGGGTCCACTGGCTCAGAGGGCGCAGCAGCCTTGGGCTCCCGGGGCAGCGCCTCCGTGGTCCGGGACCGTCTCTGCACGTGCTCTGGGTGGGGGGCGTGTGCTCGAAGCCCCTGGAGCCACCGCCCTGGCGTCTCCACCTCCGGGGGGATCTTCTCGGCAGCCGCGCCTGGATTCTCTCCCGATGTGAGCTCGATCTCGGGACCCAGAGACTCGAACCCCGCCTCAGGGTCTCTCACACCCTGTTCCCGTTCGGCCCCGGCCCCACGGTGGGCAGCTTGCATTCACAGTGCCCCGGTCCCCTTTTTGGCGGACAGAGCAGGCCGCTGGCTAGATAGCGCAGGTGGGGTTTGGGGGTGAATGGCGGCTGCGGTCCACCTGTGTCCTGCCTGTCAAGTCATGCACCCTGGCTGTGGCCACCTAATTTCTGGCCATCCCGGTTTCTGCTGTGCACAGAGGTGCTTCAGAGCTGCTGTGGCCCTGGGCAGATGGAGGTCCTGGGGAGCGTGGGAGTGCGGGACCAGGCCGCGCAGCTGAGCCGGCGTGGGGGCTTCTGGTCCTTACTCTTGGCTGAGCGAAGGCATGTCGGGGGCCCGTCCTTGAGTGGGGAGGATGGGGCTCTGGCTTGTGGGCCGTGTCTCCTCCTGGTGCCAGCACTTAGAGCCAGGGAGCGGAGCCTGGCCTCTCTCTGGATGACCGGGAAGATCCCTTTAATTTGGGGAGCTGCAGTTGAAGTCGGGGGCACTGTGAACCCCCTTCCTGGCTCACAGTGCAGACACGCAGCCATCCACTTCCAGCCGAGCTCACGCTCCGCCACCTCTTGCTTAGAAGCAACGGTTGCTGTTCCTTGTTCTGGCCTGGTGAGGCCGCGGGGGTCAGGCCCAAGGGCCCATTGTGTGGGAGGCACAAGTAGACTTCTGGTTAGGGTGACTTGCGGCTTCATGCTTATCCCCCCTCAACTCTGACCCAACCCTCAGCAGTGACACAAACAATAGGAAAAGTCTTAAGAACCTGGGACCACACTCCGAAGAGGACGAACTCACTTGTATTCCAGAAAACAGACAGGGGGGCGGTCAGGGCAGGAAGCCGCTCCTCCCGGGGGTGAGAGGACCAGGGGGCCAGGCTGCCCTTGGAAACAGGCTGCCCTTGGAAATCCGTCACGGGAGGGAAGGCTGCGCCCGTTGCCATGGCAGCAAAACAAGCTGCCCCAACTCCGGCATAAACATCCTTTTATCTCGCTCATGGTTCTGGGGCTCAAGGGTTGGGGCAGAGCACAGAGGGATGTGGAGATTCTGAGGACACCCCCTTGCCTGGGGGCCGCGGCTCCGGTGACCTTTGTCCTCTGGCTCAGTTTTGGGGTCAGGCAGACACTTGTTTGCAGCCCAGAGCTGGCATTTGCTCAGCCTCCATCAGCCCCCCATAGGCCATACCTGGAGGGACAGTGACCACCTTGCGCCCTGACGCTGTTCAGCTCCCCTCCCACTGACTCAGGACTATCTTATGAGAGGTGTTGCTGCATGTTTATTGGGGGGGATATCGGGGTGTGTTTGTGAGATTGCTGGGCACACTGTCTCCTGTGTCCTGCACCTTGCTTGCTGGGGGAAGCGGTTGGCAGCATCAGCCTGGCTAAGGGCACCCGTGGGTCGAGGTGTGATGCCTGGGGCCCAGGGTGTGTGCTAGAGTGAGGGGAGTCAGTGGGGCAATCCTACTCCCCTTGACCACGGTCGGTTCTGGGGGGCTGCAGCCTGAACCCGGCCAGTGAGTGGTGGAGGGGAAGTCATTTCCCAGAGACCACTGACAGGAGGTAGTGAGGAGGGGCCTGCTCCAGGCACTCTGGCCTCCTCGCCGCCTTCTCAGTGCTGTGTGGAGACGTGATGCCTGGGAACCTGCAGCCCTTTTGTGACTGTGAGGCTGTCTGCAGACAAGGCCAGCTCCGAGGGCAGAAAGAAGTGTGGAAGGAACAGTGCTTGATGCACCTGCAGCTGCTGCCCCACCTCCAGGCCAGCTCCTGCTGGGCTTTTTTTTAAGGTAAAATTCACACACCATAAAATCAAACATTAAAAGTAAACAAGTTGGTGGCATTTGATACATTAATAATATTGTTCAACCATGACCTCCATCTAGTTCCAGAACATTTCGCCCCTTGAGATGAAGCCGTGCCCACTAGCAGCCACTCCCTACCCCTGCTCTTCCCTGCAGCTTGAGCCTGAGAATCCAGCTCCGCCCCTCTGCACCTGCCCACGGTGGAGTCTCACAGAGCCGGACCCGCATGCTGGTCTCTAGTGTCTGCGTCCTCACGAGGACGCTGGTCTCCAGGCTCACCCCGTGTCCGGTCTCACCCAGCTGCTGCTGGATGCAGTTCCATGGCTTGCACGGCCATGTTTGTTTACCTACGCCTGGACCGGCATTTGCACGTTCCCGCTTTTTGGCTGTGGTGAACAGCGCTGCCATGCACACGTGTGCATGAGCGTGTCCGTGAACATGCTTCCACTCGGGTCTCTGCCTTGGAGCGGAATTGCTGGGTCACGTGGCCATTCTGTGTCCCAGGACTTCCTGAAAGCAGCAGTGGCTGAAGCCTCCAGGGCCCCCTTGAGCCAGGCTCTCTGGAAGGCTC